TTTATTTATTTTCGTAATTAAACACTGTTAAGTTAATTATATTATCATATTAATATTATTTGCCAAGTATGAGCATTTGTTTCATAGTAGAATTATTATTTATTTAATGTTGAAGTTCAATCACACATTGTGTTAACTTCCATTATTTAGTTCTGATCAATGTAATTTTGCTTTGTACCAAATGATTTACCTTTATGATCTGTTATGTCTGTCTGTAACTTCTATTACTTAGTCAGTGCTTAGTCTGTGAATTTTGTTATTCTATTTTTATTCTATTTTTTGTAGTGTCTGTAGTGTTATACTTTCTGTTCTGTTGTTTATATTTAGTTATTAATTGTTCATACATATTATCCATTTTCTCCCCTTCAATTCAAGAAGGTATTTCTTCAAAGAATTGGATATTTCTTTAATGTTTATTAATTGTTGTTATAATATAATATTTATATATATAATAATTGTAATTGCTTTTGTGGTTTGATTTCCAATTATTAGTATTTTAAAGCAGTGTGTAACGTTTGTTATGTTCTATAATAAGTAATTTAAATGTTATTACTATTATTTTTTTGTTACTGTTAACATTCGTCAACTTATATAATGTGTATTTTGTTTGTTATAGTAGATAAGTACACATTATGTATAATATACAAGTTTTGTTTGCACTCATTATCTTTTTATTAATAATCGTTCGTAACTGGTAATTTGTTTGTTTCTGTATAATATTTGTTTAATAACATTATAATTATTATTTATGTAGTGCTTTTAGTAAATGTGCTGAGTTCTATTAAGTATGCTTGTGTCCATTATTGCCTATTTTATATTATACTGTCTGAGATAATGGCTTAAACATTTTATTAATTTATTTAATCATATTATATTATGATTGTTTTTGATTGTAATTATTATAATAATGCATTCATAATAATAATATATGTATTATTTGTTGTAATAGCCTTATTAGCTTAATACTTTGCTCCTACAAGCTATGTTGTTACAATGTAAATTTAATAATTGTTCATTAAGGTATATACACTGTACAGTTGATGTTGCTGTTACAACTTTGAAATTTATTATATAATCAACTGCTGTGATAACACGTTCTGTGTAATTAAGTTGTATTAATGTGTCGTTTCAAGTATATTAGAGATATAATTCTTTCGTTTGTTGTTAGTATACATTTACACTATTGTATTAATGTGTAAAGTAGTATTATTTGTTTAATAATTATAATTTTTGCACTTGTTTTGTGCTGTAATTAGTATTTATACATTATAACATTATTCTTTCATGTGTAGTTAGTTTATACACTCTGTAGCATTGTTTTTTTTTGGTTTGTAGTTATTGATTATACTTTTATATATCTGTACTTGTCTGTATATCTTAGATATGTGTATTATATTTGGTATCTGATAAGTAATTGCAATATCCAACATGTAACCACTGAATCCAATATGTTACATATAATTGCTCAACAATAATATACATTAGTTATTATATTGTTCTGTATTCATTCTGTTAGTTCTATCTGTATTATTATCATTATTATCATTATTATTATTGTTATTATAGTGTCTGTAATTATATTATTGTTTATAATACATGTTAAATGTTTTATTTATTTGATTTAATATACTGTTTAGCATATATACACTTGTTTTGAGCATTAATTGTTTGGCTGTGATATTACTATATGTGTTATTATTCAATTTATACTATAACATATGTGTGCTTGTTGACAGTGTCAATCATTTGTACTATTGTAATGTTAATAGCAGAAGAGTAGTGTTTGCTTTATTAATCTTTTTAATGTTTGTTTTTTTAACATTTGTCTGTAGTATGATCAGTTAATTTATTATAACATGATCTCTGTGATATTATAGAGTATTTTAGTATTTAATAATTGTAGTAAGTGATACTCATTGTAGTTTCAACGTTGCCTGCATAGATTATGTTATTACTGGGCCAATAATCATAATCACTAAGATGACAATCATATAATGTCTGGGTTGTATGTAGTATGGTAGATTGTGTGTTTGCAGTGTATTGATTTGTGTTTGGGATACTCAGACAGGTGAGTCAAGTTCTGCATCATAGTATGCTGCATGCATACATGTGATGTGTAGAACTGCATGGAGCATAGACATAGTAGAGTGTAGATAAAGCATAGGCAGGGAGCTCAAGGCTCATAACCTGTTAAGAAAGGGGGAAGAGAGGTTATGTGAGAGACTTAGAGGAATCACACAAAGAGGGGGGATAGTGGACTTGGCTCACTCTCTCACAGCTTGCTTCATCGTCCGTTGATTAGTTAGTCTATATATACTATGTAGGTATGTCTCAGATGTAGAATGTATGATGGAAGGTATTCCATCATCGTTCGTCATTGCTTGTAATGTAGTTTATATCATCTGAGACATACTCTCGTGTAGTCTCATCTTAACACATACAGATCTCAAGCAACAGTTTTCAGGCATCTAGTATTGCAGCACTCTGCGTCTCTATCAATCAAAATTGAGGGGCAGCAGCCTGCCGCCCACCGGACTCGCGCGCGACTGTAGAAATCCCCAAGCTCCGAGACGTTTCCCCGGTTTCCCGTGTTACGAGTTCCATAGTCATATAAATATTCTTGCCGCGCAGCATGAAATTTTTTTATCAAGCTCGCAGCAACTGCATGTGCATTTTCACGACGGACGGACGTGTCGTAATGATGATAAAGGGATGACGACGCCGTGCTCGGCATGTCACGGAAGCACAAGTTTCGAGGTGTGTGGCGGGATGGCAGAGCAAAGCTATCCTAGCAATGCATGTGGTAGTCAGGGTAATGGCACGGCGGTGCTCGAAACCGCCGGCCGAGTTTCATGAGAAGTAAAACAGATCTGACGTCGTCGTCGTCGTCGTCGCGGTCATTGATGTCCTCAAGCAACCAGCGCTCCGACGCGACATAGAGTTTGAAACCTGATAGGCGTGGCAGTGCATGAATTTCACAAGCTAACAACTTCAGCAGACAATATCGAGAGGTTTGTAGTGGCTAAAACACGTCTTTGTTAGAAATTCGAAATAAAAGTACATGAACAACAAATTGGGTTTGTGCTGCTTACTGCAGACAAAAAACAGCGAGAGGCAAGTAAGCCAAGAAACGAAACACAAAAAAGGGGTACAAGTACCATAGTCTGTCGAACGAAGGTCGAAGTTGGGGTAATTTGGTGGTATCTACGCTACGAAAATTTAAATAAGAGAAAAATGTAGTCTAGATTATAAATTGGGTCGTAAAGTGTAAATGCGGTGGTATGGGAATGCAATGCGGCAAGGCGTGGGCGTCGCGGGGCATGGACAAAATAAGAACGAATAATAAATACATGCGAATGGTTGGACAATGAACAGAGCGAACAATGGGCGATACATGCAATGAAGCCGAAAGATGCCACGGAAACGAGTCCCGAGAAGAAAAATTGGAAGGCCGAGAACGCGGACCGAGGGACTAGAAGAGCTCCCTGTCAAGTGCATTGAAAGCCTGGATTGCTTGCACCGCAAGCGCAGTTGTCCAGCCCTTGTTGCCTAGTAAGATGCCTGACCCGCCGTATTTGTAAGCCCATCCGAGAGGGAAGCTGCCGTCTTCCTCTTGCAGCTTTAGTAGTCGCTCGTGGTCAACGTACATCCGTACACCTACGGCGGCTCCCGCAATGATACGCATTGCAAGACCAAGTGCGTCGCCGTCTGCTCCAGAGCGTTCAAAAACACGACGTGCGAATAGTGGAGCAAACCGTGAGTACACGGGGGGTGCGACAGAGAGCAAGCGGGAGAGGAAGAACAGGAAGCAGTCGGCAGTGTAGTAGTAGAGTGTGCCGTCCATGTATGCGCGATGTTGCAGAATGGAGTACACCCAGTCAAGAGTCGACTCGAGCTCGGATCCGCGGCCATGCATGTAGAAGAATGTAAGCACGTTCACACAGACGATAGGATCTGAGGGTAAGCATAGCAATAAAGTTCGGAGTCAATAATCAAGACAATAACGGGAAAGAGAGAGGGTAGACGTACCGGTCCGTGGTCGGGACGGGTCAAAGTAAGTTTGAATGATCCCATCTTTGTTCACATATGTGAGCATCTCGTCCATCACGCTCATCTTGGTCTCATAGTCGACATGAGTAGACACTGTGAGACCAATAGAGGTAGTGTCGAGGTCGAACGGGAACTCCTCTGTAGTCATCACCGGTTCCCCTATAAGTGCCAATAAGGCAAGACAATTAGATCATTGTTGAAACATGTGATTGCGAAAACGGTTAGAAGCACTTACCAATAAAGAAATTGAACAAACGCGGGTGCTCAACGTACTCGACGAGGGAACGATCACCGGTTGCCTCGTAGATGAGAAGCGGCGCAAAGTTTTCGTGAACAGTGACACCAGTGTTCGTGACGGAGAGCATCTTCTTTGCGTTATCCTTAAGCCATGCCTGCGCGCGGCCGATGGGATCGCCGACGTAATTGCGTAGCTGACGAGCCATGTTCTCGAAGTTGTCAAATACGATGCCCTTCATGCCGAGAGATCGCGCAGGGAGAATATTCTCAAGCTTGTCATCAATGAAGAGAGTTCGCACGGGATCGACTCCTGTCTGCTCCAGAACATACTTGTAGAATCCGAGGTTGGGCTTGCGCTCACGGGCCTCATGGCTTGTGAACACACGCTCAAAGAGCTTCAGTTCTTCAGGAGCGACCTTCCCGCGAAGGACAGCGAAATCAGGTGCGGAAATGTTGGACATGGCGAACACGCGGATGCCGTGCTGCTCCTTGAGCTGCCGGATTAGCGAGACGAGCTGAGGATTACTCTTTAGCGAGTCACGGGCGGCCTGGAACGCTTCGCGGACATCGGAGGACTCGACACGGAGCTCGGCTGCAACAGTATCATACGCCTCTTGCTCAGTGAGGTTACCCTTCTCGAACTCAAACCAAGTCGCAGAGCGGAGTATCTTCTTGAGCATTTTGGGGTTGACGCGCGTCTTAGTCTCGGCCGTCCAAGTGAAGAGGACGTCGCCCAAGTCGAAGATTATATTCTCACACGGGCTAGTACTCGGCTCCGAGTCGCCGAATTCGAGAGTAGGCGATAGAGGGGACAGAGGGGCAAGAGGGAGGTCGAAGACGGCGCTGGACGGAGTGGACGCGCCAGACGATGTGGAAGCAGGAGGAGTAACATAGCCAGTTTCGAAAGATTGTACAGAACGATATCGCGGGATACGGGAAGCCATGTCGGCGACCGACGCAGGCGAGTACAAGAAGTGCGGGGAATTGAGGACAAGTGGAAGAGTCGAGTCGAGTGCCCTCTTATTATACCTTGCCGTGCCACACGTGTCTATGCTGTTTGTGCGGTTTGCCGGGAAGAAGCTGAATAAAGGAGAGATCAACGATAATTGTGAGTATAAATTGAAAATGGAAACATGGGAGAAAAATGCAGAACCATACGCAATCACGTCACCGTGTCTGTATTTGTTTTTTCCCGGTAGAGAATTTAGCGTTTTTCCGTCGCGAAGTTGTGAAGCCACTAGTAGTCCTGGGCGTCTCATGAGTCAATCCAGGGTAACCGGGCACGGAGGGAGATCTGTGCAAGATTGGCTGCATCGGGAAACCAGATCGCTCATTGTCCGTCCGACCGTATGTCCCTCTGCGTGCATCGATTTCTGCGAGTAACCTGTCAGAATGCGTAAGGGAAACATACAGCACGGCCCGAATATTAATGCTCACCTGTAGCGCGCCGCACACGATGCAGCAAACTCTATGTGCGAGTCTACAGCACACAAAGCGGAACATTGCCCGAGAAAATGGGACAGAAAATAATTGGGTCGGAGGCCGCAAGAGGAATATGACAAACAACAATAGCTGCGTTTCAGATACATTTTTTTCCGGGATATACGGCTCGCGGCAATGGACACAGGTGTGACGAGATCCGTACTCGTCAGGGTAGCGAGATCGGAAGCTGCATGGCGGTGAGTATGCACGGCGTTGACGCCTCAACTCGCGTCGGGTCTGACTGCGCGCACACTCATCCCTTCACGTCGCCTCTGCGAAAATTACGTCGAAATAGGAACGACGAGGGTGCGGTCTGCCCCGAACGAGTCGCATCTACCCGTCTTGGCTACGGATATCTACAGGCAACCGTGGCGTCCTATTGGACAATTGGCGTAACCTGCAACATCATGGGAGTGAAACAAATAATGTTGTTACTGGTCGTGCTGCAGCATTTGGTGCGCTCTTGTCAATGTCATCAGCGCGGTGTTTGTTTCGTCACGTCACGTTTCACACCTCTGCTAGTCGCGTCAATTCCGCATCCAGACCCTGAGTCCCACGGCTCTTTTTTGGTTAGCTTGAATTGGCCACCCACAGTTCAACTTGAATTTCACTAAGTCAAAATAAAGTCCTTTTCTAATAAAATACATGTTCCCCTCCCTAATCCTAGCCAAAACCCATCCTAACACCCAAACCTAACAACCCAACTTATCCCAAACCTAATTGGGGGGCAAAGCCCCCCAAACCCCCCTCCTAACTTCTTAGTCCAAGAGTTGCCGCACTAGTATTATGTAAGTGGCC